TATATATATATATATATATATATGCATATGCATATGCATATAACAGAAGTAGACGGTCAGCTTGATTTTGATTATAAGTGTGGTTAGTTTCGTCAGCTGAGTATGTTCATACTTTACCATATTATGCTTCTTGAAAAACGCTAACTTTTAAGGATACTAGGTCATTACGAATAAATACTGCCGATTCGAGAGTAGAGACTCTATGTCCTGTTTGCCGTGGCCACGTACATGGACTTTTGCCGTTGGCACCTGATTTTGACTGTGAGCGTAAAAGGTTTTGCAATTTTTTAACTCTTAGTTTTGATTAAAGTTCTGAGTTTGCAGTATTGCGTCATTTTTTTTTTCATTTGCATTTCTTTTTTTTATGAATAAGCGTTGCGCAATTTGTTTTCTTTTTTCTGCCTCGAGATTGTCTCTTTTATTTTTGCACAGCTGTGATGTATCTTGTGTTTTTGGGTTGTTTTTTATGATATCACCACTGCAAAATGCTGCAGTGGCTTTGCATCTGCTTGCTTCTTATAGCCTGCATTTACAGTCTATCTTTTAGGTTAAATTTGGTTGATGCGAGGGGGACTGCCGTTTACCGCCTTTACTATCAATCAGTTTATGATTGCTTGCGCAACTCAAAACCTGCTTTTCTGGTTAGCCTGTCTTATCATCAAAAGCTGTTTCTTAAACGGGATTCTTACAGATTTTTGTATTCTAGGAAAAGCAGGAAGACCAGTTTATCAAATATCGCCAGACTTTTGAAGCTTTTACTTGTTCTTGCCGCAGGCAGACTTCGTCAAGTGAGGAAGTTGTCGGAAGGATTCATGCTGGTGACCATTCATTCACACTGGGCTTGGCCAAGTAAGTCCCGTTTTTGGCGTCCAGAGTTCTTTTATGGTTGGAGATTTTGGTTTTTCCTACCTTTCTGGTCCAGTCTTTTAACATCCTGTATTTGTAAAAGAAGGTTACGAGCAGGCTTTATGGTTTTGGGTAAGGAACATGAGTTTGAAGTAAATGTTCTCTAGTATTTTTTGATATGACTTTCAGTACAAATTTTTTGGATGAAGATTCCAGATATTCAATGGTTTGGTGAATAAACTGATACCTTATTCTATTATTTACGTTTCCTATCGTTTATTGAGCTAATTGCAAAAGATTGAAAAAAATATTTTTTAGTACAGTTTTATGTGATAAATACGTTTTTTTTTTTGCGTGTTGCAACATTTTCTAAAACTCCTTACTAGATAAGAGGGGTTTTCACTACTTTATTTTTGTTGAGATGCACAGATGAAGTTTTACACTTTTTTTCATTTATAATTTTTATTTTGGACTTTAATCGTAGGACGAACATTGAACGCAATGTTTTGATATCCGAACTGGGTATTGTCTATTCGAACGAGCGCTCTGTTTCAACAGGTATTTCCCACCTTTTCGACGGAAGTTTTCTTGCCCAAATTATTTATAGATTCTTGAAAAGCAGAGTTGTTTTTTATTTTGTACATTGTCTTTTAGAACACCTTCTTTGTGGTGCTTGTTACGTTGTGACAACACGTGACCTGGAATTTGCACGTTTGCAGTGTAAACAGCTTCTTTATGCGCATGGTGAGTTATCAGAAATTAGGCGAGATTCGGGCCTGTTAGGAGCTGATTCGAAACTGAGTGAGGTCAGTAGTAGTACCAGTCTTGGAAAACAACGTGACTGTGATAAAGTTAGTGGCTAATTTTATGACTTTCTTTGTTGTTTCTTTCGATTTTTTTATTAAGGATAATATTTTGCTTCTGTAGAGTGCCCTCAGTTCTAATTTCGTTGGCAACCGATCAGATGAAGCCATAGATAAGGATATTCTTATTCCGCTGCCTCTAATTGATATGAAATCTGCGCTCCTCAGACTAAGCGCTTACATTATAACGCAAAATAATCTATTTCTGACAGATAAAATTAGTTAGTTTCAAAAAAATTTTTTTTTTAGGTTAAAAATTAAACATTTCGAATTGTGGAGTAAAGTTATGAGGTTCTGTTTTGTAGTGCGACATCTTTTAGGACTTCTCTCATTTATATACAGACGTATTCTGTTGGCGTCAATCGTTAGAACTGGTTTACTTCTTTCTGGCCGAATGCCTTCTACCCAGTTGACTTTAATTTCTGAAATTACGCTTGATTCGCTAATTTATTCAGATTACCAGGGCGTTAGTTTTACTATAATTGTGTTGCGACATGCTTTCCAAGTTTATTTGTTTCCGTCCTCTGCCAAATCGTTTGAACTGTTCGTTTTCTAAAGTGGTACGCATTTCAGTCACTAACTGGTCTTGCTCAACTTGTAGCATATTCATTTTTAAAACAATTACCGCTGAACAACGAGCAGTTTTGTACATCATATGAAGTTCGTTTTCTATTCTTGATCTATGAGTTATCATTTCTGCTTCATTAGTTTAAGACTTCTTTGTGGCAATTTAGGAAAGAAAATAAATTTGTTAGAATTTCCATATTTTTATGCTCAACTTATGGTGCTTCAGTGGTGTCTTTCTTCTACAGTTTTTATTTACAGGAGGATTTTGATTGGGATCAATCGGTCATGTATGTCGCAACGGATTTTTCTCGCTTTTCAGCACAGCTTTGGCATGAGTGTGGAATAAAGAAATTCCCCGATGGAGCAAATATAGGACGTGCTACCTTCGAAGATCTGTATGCGTTTCTCTCAGGTGAGCTTTGATGCATTGAGGAAAACATTTCTTTTTACTCTTCTTTTTATACGCGTATAGTCACTTCCAAATTCAGTTTTTACCTGCCGCGAGTGAAAAACTGAGTGAGTGGTGCTTTAAATGATGACGCAGTCTGTATGTTTGATTTCATTTCTAGTTCTTTTAGCTGAAGAGGATCAGGAAAAAGGGCTGTGCAGTTATTTGGACGCAGATACTCTGTCATCTTGGATTGGCACGGCTATTCGTTACATGAATTTAAGAAGTTTTGTTAGAGTTAGTTCTTTTTTGTTTGGATGAGTCTACAGTACTTCTTTTACATGAGAGTGAAATTTACATACGAAGGTTCCAGTTCCTTTGTTCACAAGATATGGTGGCTTTTCTTACGGTTTATTTTATTACCTATAGAGCACAGCTTACTTTTAAGTAGTTTGTTTTGCGCTTCAGGTCATATGTCAGGAGCCTGTTGAATGGCGACCGTTCGTTTTGTTGGAACTACCGGTAAGCTACGACGACCTCTTTTCTCGTTTTTTCGGGCGCCATTGTGTCAACTGTGATTCCGTCCCACGTACTCCTATGATTTGTTTGCTCTGTTCCAAATTGGTTTGTTTGGATTCTTGTTGTTCTACACCGGTTGGCCCTGCGATACTTGACAACGAAGTTGAGAAGGTTGGTAACTATATTATAAAGGGTTGTTTTGAAATTTTAGAATAGTTATTAAGTGCGAAGTATAGGTACTACTATATGGTTTTTCAGCATGCTGCAGAATGCGGAAGTGGTGCGGGTTGTTTTCTTGCCTTACATTCTTCGCTAACCATTATCGTTTCGCGTCATATGGCAACAATTTGGGGTTCTGTTTATCTTGATGCTTACGGAGAAGAAGACCGAAATTTAAAGTTGGTTGACACTTTGATTTTAGAAGAAATAGCTTAACCTGAATGGTTTTCTTTCAATTCGAATTTTAGCAGGGGCTTAAGTTCTGATCAAATTATTTGAAATTTGCTTTAACTATTTTGTAATGTTTGTTACAAAAAACCATTTTATTCACACTTCCAAGAGAAGTTTAGAATTTTTTTATAACGAAAAAATTCGCTGTGCCAGACTCGGTAATGAAATGATACAATTTGGCTTTTATGATATGGTGGTGTTTAGGAGAGGGAAACCTTTATTCCTTTCAATGCGTCGTTACGAAAAGCTGCGCGTTGATTGGATTTTACAGAATTTCGATCAGCCTGTGGTAAGCCCTTTTAGCTTTGAACACCTTCCAGTATTCCTTCGTGACGCGCATCTTGTTTCAAATTTTTGAGTCGGAAGAGACCTGCATCAGCTCACTTCGTCGCAAAAGTAAACCTAGGATAGAAATTTTTGCTGTAGCAGTCTTTAAGAATACAAGTGGTTATGTAAAGTATCTCATGTACAGGTTTTTTTTATTGCGTGTTACTATGATTAAAGCAGTTTTGGAAGTCTCAATTTTGCTTGTATAGAATTTATCCAAGAAGTGATTGCATGTATTTATTTTTTGCTTGAGAGGCTTCAAGTTTGTCGTTTCAATATTTCAAAAAAATCTTGCTTAAGTAATGCGTGTAAGTCAAAAATGGTTAAAACTATTCCTGCTAATGGAATTTAGGTTAACGTTTGTTTTTTGCCTTGACCACATTATTCGGCTTGTTCATGCGGTTTTTTATGAGTCTCGGCATATTGGATTGATTAATAAAAATTTTTGTTTTTACGTGTGTTCTGCCTCTAGAGTGTTGCCGAGTATAAAGTCTTGCAGGAATAGCGATAGGCTTTGAAAAGGTAATTTTCATATTGTTTTTCGCCCTTTTTTTTTTGTTGAATAGCTTATATTGTAATTTTACCACAAGCGTTTTAGCTTATGCCTTCAATGCCACTTTTATTATTGTGAGAAGGAAGCTGTTTTTGTACTGAATACGTTTTATTTTCTTAAGTAAATTAATGCAGTAAATCTGAAGTGTTTGATAGGCCTGTGATTATGATATAGGAGTGTCATTTGCGTTTTTGATATAAACACTCAATCTTCTGATTTTTCTGTTGAAAACTGCTTGTAAAGAACTTTCCTGTAAGCTGCGTAATAAACAGTCTGGAGTTTGAAGTAATTAAGTGAGTTTGATTATTATGGCATAATTGTTGTATCTTTCTGACTATTGTATACATAAGTAAGGGTTTGCAGAAAGCGATTTATTCTGTATTTGGGTTTTTATCACAATAAATGTTCCTTCAAATTGATAAATACCGGTTAGTTCGTATGGTTATTTAATATTTCAGCAAATTTAATGGTACACGGCGAACGATTAATATCCTGTTGGCAATTTTCTTTTTGTTAGTTTTAGTTTTGCGGTACGCTGTTTTTTGAGCACTAGAAGGTAACATTGTTGCACCGCAGCATGTTGTCTGATAAGCTTGCAACTTTTATAATTTTGATGTAAAACGATTTGCGGTAGATGTGACCTTGTCTTAGCTTTACGGCTTCCGAATGTGCAGTATATGTTGCTGATTATGGTTTACAGATTTGTTGTAAGCCGGTTATTTTTTCTGCGGCTTCTAATTCGCAAAAACTCTAGGTTCCAGAACATCCTTTTATACCGCTTGAATTGCTTGGATTTACTAAGTAAAATTAATAGAAGAAAAGGACTTGTCAACACAGCAGAGTGCCACAGTGTTGTGAACAAACGATTGGCTGTTGGAAACGTGTGGAAAATTTGACTTACTATATCCACAGGCATTCACAAAAATGACATATTTTAGCCGGTAGTAGTGATGGGTGGTTATTTAAGGGTCCGGGCAATGACGTTTTAGTCTTTTTGGAGGTACATCTGAGTTTTTACTAGAGGTCCAGTGACAGCTGTAAGAGCAAGATAATAAGGGTGATCTAGTGCCGGTTTTCCTTCAAAGTATCCAATCCTCAATTTACTTTCATTCCTCACTTGTTACAGCATGAAGTAGTTTAATGGTACATTTTTTACAGTTTACTAAACAGAGGTTGAGCAAGTCAGTTGTGAAACTTGTAAATTTTGTGAAACTTTTTCAGTTCTGAATTGTCATAACTAAAGAGTAATGAGATCAATGAGAATTAAAGTTGGACGACCAAAATCCATCACAGTGCTACTGCCACTAGTCGCTAGTGAAGTAGAACTGAACGTGGATGTGTCTGGTTTGTTTTCTTGGCACCGCAATTTGTAACACATTTTTGGGACAGGCGGAGGAAGCTTAGATTGTCTTAGCGCTAAACAACTAGTGTTGCTGTCTTGACGCTTATTGGAAGTGGGGATTCTTCTCAGTTTTTACCATTACGTTGTCTTTGCTTTTGGTATCTTTTGATAGTTTAGTAGCCAAAGCAAAGCAACTGAACCCATTACTGATCCGTCAAGTATCCAGACATATTTCTGTCCTGTTTTTTCGAACATGGGCCTGGAAGAAGTGGTCTGCATTACGCGATGTTAATTCCATACTTTGGATAAAGCTTCAGTCTTAATTTCTTTTATATAGGTAAGAAGAGTTTCTTGACCAATCTTTTGCAGGTTTTATTTGAAAAAAAAAACGGAACTTACGCGATTAATAGCGGCCCTAAAATACTGATAGCATCCATGGAAAAAAGAAAGACGCCTTGCATAGTACCCTGAAATATTCAAATGAATTAAATTTTTCTGCAAATTTGTGCCATTTTTTAGTTTCTGGAATTGAAAAATTTCTGTTTCTTATAGGCGATTTGTGTATAGATTGTTGATCAACTAACCTGGTCAATTTTGCCAAGAACTAAAGAATAGATTGTATCTACGGAAAGTGTCGCAAATGAAAGTGCAATTCCCAGAACAGTAACGGTAGCAAGGACATAAATGTAAGGACTAACTGCCGTTGACGTTGCGCACCATTTGTAAGCCTCAATGTCACATCCGGTGATATTTAGGGTTTCTGCAACCGAAAGGTTGTTTCATATATTTTGCAAAAACCTAATATTTTTTTTGCAATATTAAAGGATTAAAAATGTTATCTTTGGAAAACAAATGACCGTTCTTAAGAGTAATCGTTGACCCAGGTAGTGGCCAAGGGAATGTGATAAGATAGAAGGCCAAAAACAGTAATAATGACAAAAAAGTGGCAAATCTCATGGAAATCCTGCAAGACATGGAGTTTTATCGGACTGGTGGGAAAGGAATGGAGTAAGTTGACTCATAGTTTTCCGTTTCAAATTTATTAAATTGAATGAGCATTATTTAAAATAAGTTTCTATTCTGAGAATAAATTTCCTTGATGAAAACATAGCTGCAACAGTTGTAGGTGCCACTGTTGCGATATGATCTTACACTTTCGACAGCCGGCCCGTGGCGAATCCAATGAATATTGCTAAGCTGCAAAGACCAACCGAGGACTGGAGAAGAGATGAAACTTTGACAGTTTTTGTATTGCTCCAACCAAAAACAGACATCATCAAAGGTGAACTCGTCCTAAAGCAACATCAAACCTTCCTTTCATTCCTCAACAAAATTAACTTGGTTTTGACGTCTACTAGAATAATCAAAATCTTTCTTACGTATGAATTGTGACAAATGACAACTGTACAGCCATTCGAACAAATATACAAAGGGCTACCAAACATAAATTCAGTGTCTTTAAGTCGGTTGTTAGCGCGGCCTTAGCTTTTGATGGTCTTCGTTGTAAACCTGGAGAAATTTTTGATTTTATTTTCTGCTTACTACATATTTTTGTACCAAAAACTTTTGACTAGAGCTTCCACGTTTTTTAGCAAAAGAGATTTATGCAGTAACTCAAGTGTTTCTTCTTTTGTATACTAGCCTTGTCATTTTTGGAACTTTTCTTTAATTTACAGCTTAAGTAGAAAAGAAGAACTCAACCGTAATGTAATGGTTGGAGAAGAAAATAGTAATACGAAATCTGTTATTAAAATGCAATCTCCCAATTATTTGGGAGTTTTAGTTGATGTTAGTATGGAATACCAATTATGCGATCTAAGATTTAAGTTTTTTTGTTCGAAATTAAAAAAAAATTTTTTTTTGAATCAAATAACAAAAGAGCGGAAAAAAAGCTACTAAAAGGAATTTTAATGGTTATAAAAAGTTGAAGTCTTGTCGTTTGATCTTTACTACAAAGAATTGACTCTCTATTATAAACTGATCTGTCTTCTACATTTTCAGTAGGTTATTCACGACGGCTACAGTGATACTGTAAGCGTTTTTTGATAAAAGGACTTCATCTTCTTTTGTCGAACTCAAAGTTTTTCCAATTTTAGACTCTTTTTTCTGAAGACAAATGCAAAATTTAGTGAAAATTATCAGTCTTTCGATGCAAAGAGGCAAATTTTTGCTCATTATTTTTTTTTTATTTTTGTTCTTTTAACGATTATTCGCTATTAACAATTGATCATGATGGATCTTCATGCCATCGTTGATTTTTACGTTGAGAAAAAGGACATTCAAGAAAGCTTGATTTGTTTTTTTAATATTTGTAATCTAGGTACCTGGTTGGCGTTCAGTACGTCTAGGAACTTCTTTAAAAAAGCACAAAATAATGACTAGACTGGCAACGTTGGCAAAAATAGCCACATAAATTGGCCCGGTATAAATGTTGAGCAGGATAACGTCGGAAAATATATTCCATCCCGGATAAGATAATGGTGTAAATAGCAATTGGAATACTGCAATATCAGAATAGTGTTATTAATAATCTTTGTTTTTTTTTTTTTCAACTATCTCTGTAACGTAAAACAATTTTGTATTGTTCAAGTAAAAAAAGTAAAAATATTTCAAAAAAAA